TTGAAAGAATATTCTCATAGTTTGCTTTTCGATAAACACCCTAAAACACTCAAATCTGAAAAGAGAGAGAAACCCCTTAAACCTTGAAAATGATAAAAAATTGGGGGTTATATTTCATGAATAACATGTTTTGAGGAAATCTAAATTAATAAAATAGTCGAGGAAAACGAACCGAGTTCATCGGTGTTTAAGATGACCATACAAAATGTCAAACAATGATGGTTTCTGACGACATTGAATTAAAAGCTTCAATTTTAATGAAAAAGATGATGAACCGAAATAAAAATAATAATATCTTTTTTTAATTTTCATGTCAACATCAAAACTGTCACATTATCTTATCATTTAAAATTTAATGGTTTAATGTCCTATTCAAATTCCAACATAAGACTATGTTAAATTGAAACGTTTAAAATTAATGAATGATATCAAAACCTATAGAGCAAGAGGTTAAAGGTTTTTAGTTAATATCTCCGCTCTTTCTTAGGTTATGAGTTTAATACCTATTAGAAGTAAAATTCTCCTTCCATTCCTTTAGGTAGAAATTATTAAAATAAAAAAATTAATGATATACATACACAATCTAAAATTTAAGTAAATATAGGAATACATTGATAAAATGAAATTTTAAATTTTTTAAAAGCAAATTGTCTAAATCTATTCTCTTTTAGTCCAAATTATATATATATAGTTGCCATGAGTTGAACAAATAAAAAACAATAAAAATTGGCAGTAGGCTTGACTGGACGCTGGTGCATGAAAATTATAAACCAAGGTCAATACTGTCTGCCCATGATATTACATGTGATCTGATCTGACAAAATATAAAAATACTACCAATTATTAAAGTCTCATTTTCAATCATAATTACTAAAATATGAATTCCTCTTAAATATATTTAGGGTAAAGTACATCGAATATCATGGACCAATGTTCAAATAACCATTTTGGTCATTAATTTTAAAATTTTAAATGGTCACTAAATTTAAATTTTACAAAAATTATTTAATAACGTCGAATTGATCATTTGTAGTAGTTTTATAAACTGTCTAAAACTTATTTCATAAGTGATCATTAATTGTATTTGGAGGCCAGTTATCGCATTCTTTTTCATCCTTGAATTTTGAATTCGAGATCTTATTATCAAACATCAAGCTCTAAAGGTGAATGCAATGGGAGACAGTAATGGTTAATTGGCTTTTAATCCCTTCAAATTGTAAAAATGTACTTTGTTGACCCTACAGTTTATAGTTCAGTTTTGGCCCCTTTTTCAAAATTTCTGACCACTTATGTAACTAGTATAAACATTTCCTTCTAAAATATCAATGTTTTATTATATGAATTTCTTTCTTTCAAAAAGTTCTTAAAAGATACTATTTCTTCGTAAAATATTCAACAGTTCTAATTTTATGAATTCCTTTGATTATTTTCTGGCAAATCCTAAACAAATTATTCAATATTTATTTTCATGAATCCTCTGATCCTGTATTGGCAAATTCTAAAAAAATAACAAATGTTTCCTCTAAATTCAAATATTATTTTTTTTGGCAGATTCCAGTTGTAGTTAGCAAACAACTTGCAACGCCAAGTTTATACATAAACACCTTACACAAATAAATAAATATTTTTTAATAATTAACTTGTCACTGTCTCCGAAATTGGTCATTGTAGGCGGGCTTTTATTTAAACAATATTTTTAAACTATTTAAATTTACATTTTTATATATAAATAAAAGTATGTCAAGACAATTAAGAAATTAATTCAGAGTTTTCAATATTTACATCGATCATTTTCAAAATAAAGAAATAGAAAAAAAGTTAAAAATATATAATATATATATATAAAGGAAGAGATGCTTATATAAATCGAAGGCATATATTTCCACGAATACGAAAAGAGAATTACCTCTGTAAATAAAAATTAATACTTTTTTTAGATGTAATTTATAAATATTTAAAAAATTATTATTCACAAAATTTTGCCTTGTAGGCGGCTCCAATTATTTTGCAGCAATAAGAAGGTCCCACCGAGTATGCTTGCCTTTGAAAAATACCTTGAAAATTGGTTTACCAATTTCAGGCTGCTTTAATATCACTATTATAATATGCCACCAACCTTGTACCAACTTAGAACTCAAATGTACAACAATAAGAAAGATAAAATATAAAAAATTAATCGATAATAAATGTGTAACATCATTATTTTAAATGCGTGATACGTATAATGTTATTATTTAGATTACTGATATATGTCACGTCATTACTTTAGGTGCTATAATATATATCATCATAATTAAAAACATGTGAAAATACATCGTCAGTGACATATGTTGATCGTTAATCGATTAACAGGTTTCATCCAATATGATATGTTTTGATAAAAAAATTAAAACATAAAGACTAAATTTTTTTAAAAAATAAATAATGAAATGATATTATTATATGGTAAGAGGTAATTTTATCATTAAGTCTTTTATACTTATACCTCCTCGCCCCTAATTCTTCCCTTTCAACTCTTTCTTTTCTTGCTTTATCCGTATTCATTGTTCAATTAAATATTGGAATCATGCTTTAATGTCATGAAAACTTGTTTTTCCAAAGCATGCATAAATTTTTCAAATGACCTAGCATTTACTATAATTTTAGATTTTTTAAATTTTATAAAATATAATATAAATCTTAATCGTTTGCTATATTATTTAATTTAAAATTGAACTTTTTTTCTAATAGACAAAAAATATAAAGTATCATGTATTAAAATTTCAAATTTAAACATAAAAAATAAAAAATAAATTCAATATGCACACACAAGCGCGTATAATCATAGATATTCGATTTATTGATCTCAAGATTAATCCAACCTTCAATTTTATAATTTTAAGTTTAAATTAAATTAAAGAAAATTATTGGATAAATTACATCACATATGCATTCAATAATTAGTAAGATTGCAAATTGATCACTAATTTAAAAGTTATAAAATGTCACTCTATTATTGATTGTAACAAACATATATTTTTGTTAAGTGATGTTAACTTTAGTACAATTGAGTGATCTAATTGCTATAACGGTAAATTGAGTGAATACGTTATTACACACGATTAAAAAAGAGTGATCCGTTTGTAACTTTTTCGAATCTAGTGACCATTTTAATCTTACCAATCATTAAATGACTCATGGTGTAGTTTTCTAAGTTATTCCATTTTTTCTAAACAAGAGAAAATTCTTCGATTGTTTAAAAGCAAAAATTAGATTCAAAATAAACCAAATTCGCAACTATAAATACACCAAACACCAACTACATCCAAGTGCTTTCTAGTTTGGACACAGCGCTTGTCATTCAACGGTAATTATCTTGTTTTCTCTACGTTTTCGTTACGTTTTGTTTAGATCTGAATTGAAAAGGTTTGATTGGTTGTTTTTTTTCAGAGAGAAAAAAAAATCATACGAAATGGCACGCAAGAAGATCAGAGAGTTCGATTCCAAGAGATTGTTGAAAGGCATTTCAAGAGACTTCAGGAAAAGATTTGCCAATCAAATCTGACAAGTCAGTTCAATTTCTTCTAGATCTCGCTATTCATTCAAAGTTCATCGATATTTCACTTTTGTAGTTCGATTGTATTGTAGTAGTCTTTCTTAACTGTTTAATTTGAATGATTTTAGTTCAAACTCTCGTTCTAGATATCGCTTTCATTGAAGTTTATCAACTTCATATATTTTAGTTAGATTTGTATTGGTATTTTTACTTTTAAGGCAAATCTTAGAAAAATACTGCTCGTATTTTGAATTTCCTGATCTAGTATTAAATTAGGAAGATTCGGTTGGTCTATTACTCTTTAGTTTATGAAAAAGAAAATTCTTTCCAGATCAGGAAGTTTTGAAATATGAAATGAATTTAGGTGTTCATCTACCTTCCTGATTCGTTGATTATGATTGTATGTAATTGAACTTTGAGTGATTTGTGCTCGTGCTGCGGATTTTATGAATTAAAGATGTGATCTTCCTTGATCATTGAACTTTGAGTGATTTGTTTGGTTTGCCTGTTGTTTAGATTACGGAATCAACTGATTTCAATCAGCTAGTGGAGAATGAGCCATGGTATCGTCACAGAAACTGGTTGTTAAACCTGATATGTTGTTTGGAAAACGTGGGAAGAGTGGTTTGGTTGGCTTAAATCTGGATTTTGCTCAAGTTATTGCTTTGTGAAGGAGCGTCTTGGCAAAGAGGTTTGCCCACTGTTCGTGTTTTTGCAGTCATTAATTTGTCGTTATTAAGGTTGGGTTCGAATGCTAACTCTCATGACTTATAGGTGGAATGGGTGGATGCAGGGACCTGTTACAACATTCATTGTGAACCTTTCATCCCTCATAATGAAGAGTTCTACCTTAACATAGTCTCTGAGCGACTTGGTTGCAGCATAGCTTTCAGAGTGTGGAGGATTGAAATCGAAGAGAACTGGGATAAGGTACTGTGAGATCATTTGAATTTTTCCTCAGTTTAACTTAGTTTCTTGTTTTGTTTTTACCTTAAATAGTTTCTTAGTAAGATGAGTTGTCCTCATACAGGTTAAGACCATATTTGTCCCTGGGTCTCCTTTCACATCAGAAATTGTGCTCCACTTGTTGCGACCCTTCCCTTGGAGGTAATTTTCCAAATAATCAATGATTTGAGAGCTGCCTTTCTTCTTGATTGTATTTTCACTAGTTTTCTATTCTCCGTACTTTTGCTTTAGATTTCCTTTGCTTAACTTAAGCACGTTCCTTCTTCCAACGGAAAACTTAATCAGATGATTTCAGAAATTATCATGTATGCATTCTGTAAATGCTCTTTGAATCTTTAACTAAATATGTTCTTTTATTATAGATCAAAGGAGAAATTGAAGAGTTCATCAAAGTGATTTTACTCTGTTTCAAGGTATGAAATATATCTGGCTTAAATCTAAAGCTATTGAAACTAACATTTCGGACTTGTGATTAATTTTTTCAAGTTTGAAAATGCAGATCTGGACTTCACTTTCCTTGAGATGAACCCTTCACACTGGTTGATGGAAAGCCTTATCCTTTGGACATGAGGGGCGAGCTGGATGACACCGCTGCTTTCAAGAACTTCAGAAGTATATCCCCTTTATGAGTAGTTTTCTCTATTTATTGTTTCAATGCAGTGTGGAATAGGGGATGAAATTCAACTGATGCAATTTCGTTTTTTGTAGGTGGGGTAATATTGAATTTCCACTGCCTTTTGGAAGAGTTATGAGTGCAACTGAAAGCTATATTCATGGGCTAGATGAGAAGGTACATTAGATTTAATAGATAGCTGGCCTTGTACGCAAACTCTTCTTTTACTTGCTAATCAGCCAATTGGAGTGGAAACTTCAGCTGTATGTGGTATGACATGGAAATTTTATTAATCACCTCGTTGCATATATTTTCTCTAAGTAAAACTGAATATTCTATTCAGTTTACTGTCCAGTTACTCCGATGAAAGTGGAATACAATATGTTGCAGTTCTTTTAATAGCTTATCCAAAAATATGGTATTAATTAAAATATTTATATTGCAGACTAGTGCGTCTTTGAAATTTACGGTGTTGAACCCTAAGGGACGCATTTGGACAATGGTAGCTGGAGGAGGTGCAAGTGTCATCTATGCTGATACGGTTGGTTATCTTGCTTTTGCTCTCTGTGTTTCCCGGATAGGACTAAAACCCTGTAACTTTAAGGTACTGGACATGCTTTTAATTTATTCATGTCATTTATCGCCTAATCAGGTCGGAGATCTCGGCTTTGCTTCTGAGCTTGGAAATTATGCAGAATATAGTGGAGCACCAAATGAAGAGGAAGTACTGCAGTATGCCAGAGTAGTAATTGATGTAAGGACTCTGGCCCTTAATTTATATTACAATGTTGCTAAAGTAGAAACCCAGATCTTGTACTTGACAAACTAACACCGTCTCGAACATTTGTCGAAGACAATATGAAATAATTTTTCAATTAATTCGATATATAGAACTTACCATGCATATATAAGCATCATGAGCACATTTTTTCTGTGCTCGCCAACATACATCCTCAAACCGATTTAAGCATTTGATTTTTGGCTTCACCAATAATTTAATCATTCCTCAATAGTGTGCGACCGCAGACCCTGATGGCCGCAAAAGAGCCCTTGTAATCGGTGGAGGAATAGCTAACTTTACTGATGTTGGTGCTACATTTAACGGCATAATTCGAGCCTTGAAGGAGAAGGTGAACTTAACCACAGTGTTATATTGTTTCACTTGTTGTGTCCACCTTCATATGTTAATACTAACCAGATGTGCAAATTTATATAGGAACCAAAGCTCAAAGCCGCACGGATGCACATATATGTGAGGAGAGGAGGTCCGAATTACCAAAGGGGCCTTGCGAAAATGCGTGCACTCGGGATGAAATCGGAATCCCTATTGAGGTACGGTATTATTGGTCTAAATCTTTTCACAAACTAGAACATTTGCTGATGTTTTCGTTTCGATTCGGTGCTACTCGTAGGTTATGGTCCAGAAGCTACGATGACCGGTATTTGCCAGCAGGCAATCCAGTACATCACTACAGCTGCCTAAGTTGTTGGCTCGTGATTTCCGTCTCTATTTCTTTGTTTTCCAGCAGTGGGTTGTTTTCCGTTGATTTCCTTTGCCAGTGAACTAGAAATCTCACGAAGTGATGTTTAGTCCATAAAATATTACTGAAACAATTGGAATTGTTTGCTGAGAATGAACAAAGGCATTTGTCGGCAATAAAAGATCTTTGAAATTGTCTACGTCTTTGTCTCCAATCTTTATTTTCTTAATGGCTAATTAACTTTATCTTTACTAATCTCATATAATAATATATGGTTATGATGCACTAATTCTTAATTTTCTTTTTTGAAGTATTCATTATGATATTAATGTTCGTTATCACACATAACGACCAGGGGAGATATGAACAACAATGACAAACTAATTGTTGATAGGAGCGAAATCAAAAAGTTATTTTAGAGGATGGAGTTAAATCAGATACTGTAATAAATTTATGTAGATAATTACGAATAAACGATAAGATCGTAATATATGAACATATAGATTTATGTAGAAAATTCTACTCGAAAAAATATTACAAACAGGGTAAAGGAATTTTACAAGATAAGAAATAGGTTACGATAAAGATTGTATAAATCACACCAATCGCAACACTTTATTTCTTACAAAATTCTTTATTTTCTCACACTTTCCTTATAAACCCATATAGATATTTTTAAGTGGACTCATATACAAAATCTTAAAAATAAACTTGTATCGTATCACAGGGTTCCGTCTTCGAACTATCGATTTTAATTATTCATCTAGTGAATCGAACCGTGTTCAAATCACAATTTCTAATGGATATAGATATGTTGTACACCACGCGATGGCCTTATTGTTGAGGAGAGTGAAGCCAAAATATTATTTTAGGACACATGGTTAAATTATAATTTTTTGCAAGGTCAAAATATAAATTCATTCTTTGAACTTGTAATTGCATAATTGTTTAATAAAATTTAACTCAATTCTATATTTTGAGGGGGGCACAAAAAATTTACCATTTGAATGTTGGATTAAGGGTCACAATTATACATTCTCATGCTTACGATTCCACCCTCTTAATTTGACTCTACAAGTTTAACAGTGTTATAGCTTATAAACTAAGGTCACAATATTTCTCTAAGGAAGGTAGGATTTAGTTATTTTGGAATACCTCAACATTTCAACAAATATTATTATTAAATCCATTTGAATTTAATATAATAATGAAATTAATATCCTTTTTAGACAATAACAATTAATAAATTAGTCCAATTATTTTATCTTTCATTCGAAATTAATGAAGCTACTTCCAAATGTATTTTTAAGGATTAAACTTAAATTTCTCCTTAAAAATGCAATATACCTTATCATTACATCTAATATATGCTTATGTCTAATTATTTTAATCTTATCACTACAAAATTTAACGAATAATTAATCTCAATATCACCATCGGATTAGAAACAATCTCACCTCTCATTTGGAGCCTTAACAAACTTAAAATGGTTAAATTGATTGGTTATCAATTAATTAAATTTAGTTAATGAAATTAAACCCAAAAAAAACAAATACAGTTTTAATTCACTTAACAATATGGTCTCCACCTTTACACTTGAGTTAGGTTTATTACCCATGTCTAAACTAAAGAAACAACCTCTTCTTATTACATATAGTAAGTACACCTTTGGATGCTGCTTTGTTTGTTTTGTTTCACTGTAATCCAACCTCCTTAGCTATCCCATACCCTCTTCTCCTATTATGTATATGTATGTAGTAAGCATCCATACCTCATTCCACAAACCCTAAACTTATTTAGAGAATTTTGAGTTTTTTGATCTCTCCCGAAGAAAGTTAAGATGGTGGTCGGCGTCGAGACTACATTTCCGGCAGGAGAACCGTGGAGTCCACCACCATGAAGACACCTAATGCTCTTTCCTCGGACCCATGCATCAATCTTGTTCGGTTAGTCCACCCCCTGCATTGCTTCCATTTACAATTTCCACTGGCTTTATTCATGCATGCTGCATGCATCTGCTATGCAAGGAATTCATTGATTTTTCGATCAGGGATGGATCTAAGATGTGTTGGGATGTGATCTTATCCTTGAAAATTTTAAATTTTCTCTTGGTTTTAATATTTTATTATATTTCTATCAACTATATTAATTTACATGTACTAAATTTTTAATATAACTTAATAAGTTTGTACACTGACAAATTCTTGCATCCGTCAAGAACAAAGCGAACGTCTCCGAACTTTGGTGTGATTAATAGAATTTATTTTTTCATGCAGCGGTGATCCTACGTTGTACGAGCCATACTGGAAGAAGAGGGTGAAAGGTGTAATGTTGTTATTCCAGGAGATGAATGATGAGCTACATCAGTAATGCGGACAATCTATGTTGGTTGATGCCGGAGCTCGACCGTGTCATTCGAAGACTGCATCGTGTTGTCGGGAATGCAGTGGTTGATGACGATAGATTCATCATCGTCGGAAATGGCTCGACACAGATCTTCCATGCTTTGCTCTACGCCCTCTCGTCTCCTGATCAGCCCGAACCCATTAGTGTGGTCGCTGCCGCCCTTTCTACTCGGTAAGTCTTTCATACAAACGCGGCTGTTGATCCCTAAGACGACATCTTCCCTCGGTCCATTAATAATCTTCTGAAGGAGAACATGAATGGACAGAGGGTGTGTTGGAACGCAATTGTACCTCTAAAAATCTTAAATTCTTGCATAGTTTAAATATTGTCTTGTTTTATATTGATGATTTAAACTCATTCCTAAATTTCTAATATAACTATTTAAATTTGTAATCTTGACACAATTCTTCTTCCGTTAATGAAGGAGACTAAACACATAATCAACCTACTAAATATTACCTTGGATTGCAGTCATATCAGGAGGAGACGGAGTTCCTGCGATCGGGGCTGTATAAATGGGCAGGGGAGGCGAAGTGCTTCGATAAGATGGAGCTTACATCGAGGTGGTGACTTCGCCCAACAACCCAGATGGCTCGATTCGAGGAACCGTGGTGAACCGTGAAGGTGGTAAATCTATTCACGACCTAGCCTACTATTGGCCTCAGTACACGCCCATCTCATGTAGCCGGTCACGATGCTATGCTTTTCACATTCTCCAAAGCCACCGGACATGCTGGTTCTCGCATTGGGTAAGGATCACCGGCCATCAATCATTTTGTCCATCAAAATATTTTCATCAAAATGATCCGCTTTTGACCCTTTAATTTATAACTTCTGCAGCTGGGCTATCGTTAAGGATAAAGCAATCGCCGCCAAGATGGTGAAGTTCATAGAGTTGAGCAGTATCGGTGTATCAAAAGAATCTCAGCTTCGTGCCGTCAAGATTCTAGGAGTCATCGACGATGACTGTCGGAACCCCGAGCTCGAAGACGTAAACTTCTTCGAGTACGGCCGACGAATCATGTCCGACCGATGGGAAAAGCTCCGGCGAGTGGTGATAAAAACAAATGGAGTCTTCAACCTGCCCGAGTACCCACAACATAACTGCAAATTCACCGGCGAATACACCCATGCAACCCCCGGTATAAAATTTTCCGAATCATGAATTTTCTTGCACGTAACAGTCTTGACATTTGATGAAACGATTTTATATTTTGTTCTTGTTGTTGGTGCAGCGTTTGCATGGCTGAGGTGCAAGGAGGGATTGAACTGTGAAGAACTGTTGAGAGAAAAGTGTAAGATAATGACAAGGGGAGGGACGAGTTTTGGTGGTGAGTCAACGTACACGAGGGTTAACATGCTGAGCTCTGATGCCGAGTTTACCTTATGCTGGAAAGGTTGTCTGCGATCAAGAACCCATCAATGGGAAATAGAGTTTATGTTGATGAGCACTTTGTGTGTAATTAACTAATGATGCAAGTATAATTTGTGATTATTGATATATTTGTATGAAATAAAATAGTACTTGTAATTATTATTTGTGAAAGGGTAAAAATATTTTTGTTTTGAAATTTAGACCTATGACATCAATTGATCTAGATTTTTGTTAAATTTAATAATTAACATCGATTATAGGGGTCAATTGAAAAAAATTTAAAACAATTATTTAAGTGAAAAAGGATTTGATTGATTTTTATCAAATGTTTGAGGGTTTGTACTTTGTTGTAGGGATGAATATGAGATCCGAATCTAATGGATTCTAACTCGACGTTTTAGGACTGAGATGATTTAGGATAAAAAATCATCGACCTAAGATAAATATAATGGTATAATTATATCTATATATTTAGATATAATTATAATATACACCCATATTTATATTTTTTAATTAATTTCTTATTTTATATTTTTATTGAATAAAAAAATATTTATTTATTTATTTGTGTCGGATTGAATTGAAACGAATGATAACTTTTATTTTAAAAATTAGATTAAATTTCGAATCAAAATCCAAATCACTCAAAAAATATAATACTCAAAACTAAAATCGAATCAACCAAAATTTGGCACAATTTAACTCATATTTATCCCAAATATCTGTTAGCCGTAATCCTAAAAAAAACCATAAATGTGCCAGCTAAGCCACCACCAAAGCATAATTTTTCAATTGGCCAACACAGCGTAGTGGATAACTCCTTTGATATCTCCCAGAAGATTGTCTCCCTCTCAAGAATAAAAGTTTAATGCTCATTTTGGTCCTGAACTATACCAGATTTTTAGTTTGATACTTTTGTTGGACTCTGGTACCTGAATTATCATTTTCATCCCAACTTATCCAAAAATTACCGATCCCCTCCCCTTCATTTTAAATAATTTAAGAAGTCGATAATTGTTCATGTATCAAAGTATAAAGGTGAACAAACGATTAAGTCAATTGATCCAATTAATTTTTTTTAATTTAACCAACCCTACCATATGTAATTAAACTAAACGATTAAAATTGATTTAACATCAATCGATTAAATCAGTTTGATTATAAATTTTAACAGATTAATCAATATCATAAACAATTTAACCGTTGAAATCAAATTAAACAAAAATTGAATTTACCCGTGAGTCGGTTAATTCGATTTAACCGGCTTATGCTTAACTCGATCAAAGTGGGATGAAAAAAGTAAACGAAAAGAGTGATATAACTCGGGACTAAATGTGAAATATACCAAAAAAATTCCGCCAAACGTACTGAGCTTTTGGAGCCTTTCTTCCTTCCATTCCATTCCATTTGCTCAGCAA